CCATGAATAATGATATAGACACAGCAAACCAGTTATTCATTTCTGTAATGCATAATACTGCCACCACTTCGATGCCAATTCAACGCAACACAAGACAGCCGAATAAAAAAACATGGATAACCTGGGAACTAAAAGGAAATATTTAAAAGCGCGACAGACTGTTCAACACTGCGAAGCTAACTAAAAACGATTGCAACTGGGATAGGTAGTCATCAGCGTAACATGGTAACAGCCATAAGTAGACGCCAGAAAAGGGAATGTTTACAGAACAACAGTACAAAATATACTGGCACAAAAGCATAGCCCTTTTAAATATCTCTAACACCGTGCTTCACAACTGGACGCACACGAGACACCATTTCACTACTACAATCGGACAATGGCGACATCACAGTTGACGAACACGAAAAAGCGGCATTACCTTACAATCACTTCGCCGCACAATCCGCGCTAAGCTTTGAAGGCTCCTACCTACCACAACCAAACAACACCACCAGTGCACCGCCGGTACCCACTTTAGCAAACGTTACCATTGCTGAACAAGAAGTCGTAAAAAGTACAAACTTCCGGGATGCAAACAAACCTACGGGTCCCGAAGAAATACATGTCAAACTGCTCAAGCTTATTGCGATTCTCACCTCCAAGCCATTAGCACAGTTTTTTTTTATAAATCACTGGGTCAGGAATATTTCCCAGCAAGTTTAAAGAAGCAGACATCAAATCAATACTTCAAAACAAAGGTTCGCCATGAGACTCTTCCTGCCATCGACCAATAAGCATCCTTTCGGCACTCTTAAAAGTTACCGTAATAATAGTATATAAAATATATACGATCACTCTACCGAGCATTCTCTTCCCTCAAACAAGTAAAGTGGGTATTGGCAGTCACAGCACTCAACAGCAGATATTTTACTTGACGCACAACGTACACAAATCCCTTGGCATAGGACGCAACTGTGCGGCAATATATCTCGACATTTCTAACTTCGACGAGATATGGCATAAAGGTCTGTTATACAAGTGCAAAAATGAGTTTGGAATCGCAGGACGACTTTTAGACAAGGTTAAATCATGCTAACAAGACAGGCGACAGAGATTACGAATGCATAACACTTTTTAGGTTACTCAGACCATGAACGCAGGCTGCCCGCAAGGCTACGTGCTCGGACCTTGTCTAGCGTTCTCCTATCTCGACGGACTCTCAAATCGAGCAGAGAATGATATTATCTCCGTTGATGACACCTCTCTCTCTCTCTCTCTCTCTCTCTCTCTCTCTCTCTCTCTCTCTCTCTCTCTCTCTCTCTCTCTCTCTCTCTCTCTCTCCTCCTCTCTCTCTCTCTCTCTCTCTCTCTCTCTCTCTATCCTCTCTCTCTCTCTCTCTCTCTCTCTCTCTCTCTCTCTCTCTCTCCTTCTCTCTCTCTCTCTCTCTCTCTCTCTCTCTCTCTCTCTCTCTCTCTCTCTCTCTCTCTCTCTCTCTCTCTCTCTCTCTCTCTCTCTCTCTCTCTCTCTCTCTCTCTCTCTCTCTCTCTCTCTCTCTCTCTCTCTCTCTCTCTCTCTCTCTCTCTCTCTCTCTCTCTCGCTCTCTCTCTCTCGCTCTCTCTCTCTCTCGCTCTCTCTCTCTCGCTCTCTCTCTCTCTCGCTCTCTCTCTCGCTCTCTCTCTCTCGCTCTCTCTCTCTCTCGCGCGCTCTCTCTCTCTCTCGCTCTCTCTCTCTCTCGCTCTCTCTCTCGCTCTCTCTCTCTCTCTCGCTCTCTCTCTCTCTACGCTTCGCACACGACTGACTTTACAAAACATGCCACAAAATAAACAAAACCCTGGCCCTCTGTTTTCGACAGCGCAGCACATACCAAGGTCCATTCTAGACAAAATCTTCAAAGTGTACATCAGGCCTCTTTTTTACTATTGCGTCGCAATCTACGACGGACACATCCCAATAAAGGACGCGGTCAGACCCGAAACACTACAAAACAGAGCTGCGAGACTGGTGACTGGGGCACTCTTCAGAACGCCATCCGGTAAACTGCGAGCTGAGTTAGGATAGAATAGACTGACAACGAGGCGATACATACACCGACTGACTCTCTATCGCAAAATAAACGACCCGGGACAACGTGCACCGACCTGCACCACAGCAATCATGCCTAATACCCGCGATCAAGGCACAGAGATCTCAGAAACACAAGCACGCAGACACTGCAGCTACCCATCGCACACCATCTTACCACAAATAATTTTCCCAACTAGCAAGAAATGGAATGAGCTACACGACACCACACGACAACTCATTCAGTCCCCCTTCAAAAAACAGGCTTGCGAGCGGCTGGGATTGCCTGATCCACCCCATTACCACACCGTCCGATCAATGAGAGGAAATATGCTGCATGCCAGACTCAGAATGGACATATCCCGCTTGAATGCCCATTCATTTCCTGTTAGAAATACAGCCTAGCGGACATGCTAGTGTAGACACTGACTTAACAACATTCTTCATTTCGTCCTTTCGTGACTAAAGTATGAAGAACAACGAAATGGCTTGGTTTTGGCACCATCTTTCAAAAGCTACACGTCCATTTTAGACACAAGTTACCTTTATGTCAGCTACAAACTCTATCACATGGCGCATATCTCAGCGTCCGAACCGACAGCGTCGGTTCGGCGGTGGCTTACCATTTCCAAAATGTTCTGCTCAAATCAAGACGATTTATCGACCTTAAGTGTTTTTAGTTGTTCCCCTCACCATACCATATGGACGTAGCATCACCGGTGAGGCGTGTGCTGGCTGACAACCCAGCCGAATTAAGCACCTGAGCGACCAGTACCGTGGCGGCAGTCACAGCTCAGCATTTCTTTTTGTGTGCTTCAGACAAGATGTTTCGATTTAGCTCTTGCTTTTGTGCCTTCCTAGTTTTCGTTCGCTTTCTATTGCATGTCTTGTTTAAAAGTCATGATGATGATGATGATGACGTGATGATGTGATGATGGTGATGATGATGATGATGACCTCCCGTACCAGAGGCATCTTAATCGGACAAAAGTGCACCAACTCTCCAAGACGCAAGGGAAGGGGGAAATCTCCACTTCGATGAGCCACTGAACCTTGTTGAACAAAAAGTTTTGAAAAGTAAGGAGAAGGGGGCAAGATGAATGGTTCTGTAAAAATAGCCACTTACCGGAAAATAAAATCTCAGCTCGTGAGAAGACATTGCAGAACATAAAACTTTCCAGTGCGAATGTAATATGCCTAACAAAGATTGTTGCCCGGTCAGCAGACTTGTGCTCGGATCCGGACGAAGTCGGGGTCAACTCCGGAATCAGCCGCATTTGCGGCGTGTCGAGGAATGACCACTTTCTTTGAAAATTGACGTGAGTTGTAATTGGAGTTCAGTCAGCGACATGGTCAGGAGTAATCGATGGCGTGACTTCCTTTAATTGTTCGATGATCGAAAAATTATTGCTCACCAATGTGTCCTGGTGTGCTGGAGGTCAGTTCTTTCCGGTGTAATAGCTCGCATACCGAAAAATCGGAAGCTGTCTTGCTCACATGCATCTGGAAAATATAAGTAACACCAGACTTTATTAATCTGGCAGCTCTTGCGCGTGCCACAAATTTAACAACTGATGCATCGCTTTTGTTGTTGAAACATATATCCCAAGCAGCCGTTTGAGTAATCCACAGAACACTATCTCCTAACGTTGTAAGCTGAGCCGATTATATCGGAATTAATTCCTGAATCCATATGTCTTTGTACCCGAGTCGGACCAAAAATTGCGCGGTAGTAGCCGAAGTCAGAATCGAAATCAACCAGTACGCATGCGACGTGAATCAGAGCATGAATAGATGCACTGCTGCTGCAGGAACAGCGGTGTGAGACTGCATCGAGAACAGGCTCCAGCGGCAGTGATGCCATCTATAGCTCTGTCGAGGTGGCCTTGACCAAGCAGCGTAAACTCACAGTACTAGGCTGCTGCTGTTACTCTAGCACTGGGCCAGGTGGTCGCTGGCTTTCAGCGCAGGTAGTACGCCCCACAAAACAGCGCGACAAACAAACGCCGCTGGTACGACTCCCTACCGCCTCTATATACAAACATCCGCCGTGGTCTACGCGACTTCGGCGGCCCCAGCTTCTGCTGGGCTTTGGTGTTTGTTTTTTTCACATCCTGGCTTGGCCCCTAGTCTTCATTCCATAATGGCAAAACTGAACAGCAATATCTGACAAAACAAGCTCATTCATCAATATCATCTTGCGAAAGGATCCATACACTGCCCATCGCTTGCGTCACTGTTTTCCGTTAATTGGCTTCGTTTGATTCAACTTACCTTTAGCGCGCCTTAAGCTCAGTCATCTGTAACCTTCTCTCAAGCCCATCTCATCCTAACCTACCATCCGTCCATTACTGTCACCTCTCCTCTCTCTTTGCTATCAAAGGTACGGTCTAGTTCATCATGGCACGATAGGCAACGATAACAACTGGCACGAACATAGCACGTCCGTCGGCGTCGTCACTGGGGCTTTGCGACGCACTCAGCTGTTGACGCAGGGAATCGAACCTCGTACCTCTGGTTTCCCAGACGCGTAGTGGTCAACGTAAACGCGTTAACCACGACACTATGCACAGTGTAAGTGTTGGGGGCAAGTGTAGCTATCAATGCTTCGAGAGGCATTTGCATAGTTATCCTGAAGTTGATGACAAATTGCGAAACAACTACCGATGCCACTCCGTACTGAATTGTCGCCGCTACTTCCGCCGCGCGCACCGGTCCTGTTACTGCCATCCTCTCACTGAGGCCATTGTACGTCTGTATGCTACTACAGTCGTTTTGATGTGACTGCGTTCATAGGAATCGTAATGAGAAAAATTAAAACTGACTAATGACATCTCAACTTGGTTATTTTGTGTCTCGATCCTGCGATGCCGGTAAATGCACAGATCCTGCTCAGGAGATAGTCGCGCAAATGGTCGACATTCAGATCTGTCATCCCTCCCTCCAAATGCACCCAGTTTCTTTCACAAGTTTAGTCACTGTTCATCGAAATCACATCGCGGGCACTCGAACGGTTTATGACATGTTCACATCCACCAGTTCGTACGTAATCACATGCGCCCGCGAAGAGTACGGTCTCGACGAATGACTCACAAATGTGAACACAATGACGATGCTTCGTGATTTCCGCGGCGTGAATGTGACCATTCAGCACAGGACCAAACCATACCACGCACATCACATCACCACAGGAGTTATCATTCTCACGGCTTGTAGTTCACACTCGCCTCTATAATTGTGATGATGTACACAATCGTCGCTTGCCGTAGTGTCGTGGAACAGCACCAATGGACGTGACACCTTCTGGGAGGGGACCCGGCATTGCAATGACAAGCGGTTCGGCTCCAGCTGACTATCCTGTCGTCGCCATCGCCGCCCACAGGCCGGCTGGAACACCCAACAGAACAGACCACACCACAGCACCAAGCACGATACACCACAGGTCGTTTCTCTTCGGCACCTTCAGGCAACGCCACCCAGTCAACGGCTGCGCGGTCCTCCAGTGTCCGCACGTCTCGCAGGATTCGCCTGTCTCTGCCTGCTGCATGTTTGACGGGTCCCACGCAAAACAGGGCCGCGGGCAGGCCGAGGCACCGCCGTCCATCCCACTCACAGGCGGCGGCCCACTTCACCCGGCGGTCCGAGCCCCCGCCACTTATAAACCAGGTGTCCATTACCGCCTGGGACCCACCCGAAGACGGCCGAGTCACGCCCTCGACTACTTCTTCTTGGCTATGCTACCGAAGGCGGGGATGGTCTTGGCCGGCGGAGGCAGGCCGGTGGCCAGACCGGCCGGCTTGATGATGGGCACGCTGGAGCCGTGCGGGGCGCCCACCTGGTCCCACTTGCTGCGCCGCTTGGGCTCGCCGTCTAGCTTCTTGGTGCCCGTCACCACCTCCACCTGGCGGCGCAAGGAGGAGAGGGAAGGAATGTCACGAACAGCACGGAGCCCACCGTCGTCGCTGTGCTGAGTGCATCAGAAATGCATGGACGTTGTGGCAAGACAGGCGGAGGAGAGCCGTCCGTTAGTAACGTCACGGCTACCGACGCAAGGGATGCAAGGGATACAATTTTTCAGCCTCAGCGAACCGGCCGGGCCCAGCGCAGCCAGCGTTCCTGCAGGCACTGCAAGCCGTTCCAAACGGTTTACAGCAAGAATCGCAGCTCTTTAAATGTCTTGCTTCAGGCATTTGCATATCAACTATTAAATTGGGAGCGATTCTACGGTGACATTGTAATTACAAACCATACAAATTTTGCCTTCTTTAATCGATTAACGAGGAACAGTAAACTTCGCAATTGTGACATAGCCGCGCAACGCATACCGAAAACACGACCGGATTTAGATAGCCAAGCGTCGCAGCCACCAGATAAAAACATATTTTGGCGGAGGCAGGAATGGACAAATGCATTACATATAAACGGCACGTGACTGGTCGGGCATGTAAGGCTCTGTCGTGCGAATCAGGACACAGAACACGGCACTCCCACGTTTGAGCGATTCCAGCAGATGGCTTGTCCATCCACGGCCTACCGACTGTGCCCGTCTACACGCTGCCAGGCCACGCCCACTATCGGCTGCAGTAGAGCAAGGAGGAGTCGAGTCCAGACTGAGCAGCTCGCCGGAGCCCCGGACGCGAACTCGCTGGGACGACCCATCCCGTCCTGGGCTCGCCGCGAGCCGCGCTGACCGACGCAGTCACCTTGGTGCGCTCCTTCCTCTCCTTCTCCCGTCTCTCCATGTCCTCCTTTTGTACTCTGGCCAGGTCGTCGTAGTACGACTGCTTGCCCCAGATCGACGGGTCGTACAGCTCCTGCCGTCGGAAAATGGGTGAGCAGAGGTGGGTGTCCAGGAAGCACGTGCCTTACCCAGGGCACGCCGAAGAAAACGAGTGAGTGACGTGGCAGCCCATGACAAAGTCAATAACCACCAATGGCTTCTATCACGAATACTAACACCACGCGGTGCGCAACACCCAAATGCAATGCAACCTTTCAACCATCACACGACACTCTACGTACACATCGGGCCGACGCCCGGTCCAACCAGTAACCAGCACAGCGCCGCCAAGACACAGCATCCCACCATACCGGCGGGTAGTTGGTGCCGAACTCGTCGATGTCGCAGAAGGTGATGAGCTTCTCGTAGATGGAGGGGTTGCGGAAGTCCTTGTGGGAGCGCAGCCGGTCGTTCATGTCGGCTCCGGTCCGCTCGCGCTCCTGGCACAGCTTGGCCACCATCTCCTGCCGACACGGAGACGGCGCGTCAAACGGGTGGCAGACGCGGGCCGGCAGGCGGAGAGCTGCTCCAGCCGGCTGGGCGCGCCAGCTGCACGCTCGTATAACATTGGTGGCACCATTGGCAGCTTGATCATGCGCCGCTCCCGCAGTTTTACTGCAAGCAGGGAGCACCCGATGAGTGAAAGCCCCTGCGCGTTGCTTCGCGACGATCAACCACCAGACATTTACACTCGTCATGCGACCAACAAGCCCACTTCCAGAGGCATGTTGACGACAGAACGAGCGGATAAATGTCCGCGAATGTACGAAGGCTGCATGCTTGCGTTTGGGAACAAGCCACTACACAAAACCTACACAGGGGATGGTTGGGACATCAACACCAGCTGCAACCCACAGCACTCATGGTGGCCCAACCGACGCCGCCCCCTGACCTGCACAGCCCTAAGGATGCCATCCTCCACTGACCTGCATATGTTTGAAGCACCTGTTGGCCCCAAGGACATCACCCCCCACTGACCTGCAGGTCTTTGGAGCACCTGCCGGTCCCAAGGACATCACCCTCCACTGACCTGCAGGTCTTTAGAGCACCTGCTGGTCCCAAGGACGTCACCCTCCACTGACCTGCAGGTCTTTGAAGCACCTGCACGGCCCCAAGGATGCCACCCTACACTGACCTGCAGGTCTTTGGAGCACCTGCCAGCTGGCTCAGAGGGGATGAGGTCTTCGCTGGCGGCGGCGGCACCGGCGGCCCCATCTCGCTCGCCCTCCTGCTCGCCGCCCTCATCGTCCGAGCGCGAGATGTCCATGTCGTCGCTGCCCGCCTCCAGCTCGTCGTCCAGGTCCAGGTCATCTTCCGGGTCTCCGACATAGGAGACCAGCCGGGCCGGACGGTCTGCCAGCGAGGAAGGTGTGGCATGACCAGAGTTGGCTGATCCAAAACCTGTTTTTAGATAACTGGGTATGTAGAAAGTTGTGGCCTGCGCTAATGATTTATTTGGCACCTTGCTTTTGGTCCTGGAATATTAATCTTTACCCTATATCATTATGGAGTTTTAAATGCTGCCTGAATGCATGACTTGTACCACAAAATGGTGCCTCATTGAGGACACACAAACATCTCCAAAGAAATATGAAGAACTGAAAGGTCTTAAAAATGGCATGTATCTTACTGACACAACACATATACAAACACACACATACACACATATATCCCCAATCAGTGTCAACACTGTGTGTGTGTGTCATTGGGGCTTTGTGACACTCAGCTGCTGAGGTTATATGGCATCACCTGCCTCTCACCCTGGCAGGAAGGGCGGGCGCTGCACGGAATCGAACCCGGTACCTCTGGTTTCCCAGATGTGCAGTGGTCAACGCAGACACGTTAACCACTACACTACTGGCGCCCATCAGTGGCAGCACTAGCGATGATGTTATGTAAGACAAATGCATGATCAATAAGGTAATCAATGGGCATGGCCACCCACAAAACACATACATTCACAACTCAACTTGAGTGCTTAATATATAAAGCATCCCAGTCTTAGTTCCAAAACATTTTTGTAGCACAAGCTCATATGTCATGATTCATATCTCACAAGCCATTTATAATATGCATCACAAACATTTGCAGGAGCCTAAATCAGTTTAAGCTACACTTGAGTTGTGGCTACACATTGCACATACATATAAAACTTACAGAACCTTAATATTTTTGCATTTGAAAATGACAGCCAGGTGGGCTTACTACACTTATATGATACTTGGCCAAAGCCAATAAACACATCTGACTTCTTTTCAAAGCAAATGGATTGACAGCAACACATTCCAGAAATTCACATTTGACTCTTGTACAAAGCAAATAGATTGACAGCAACACATTCCAAAAGTTTTACAATTCACCACAAATGTTTTGTGTGCCACCTAACAAGCAAAGCATCTGTTTTGCTTGCATCAATATGCTGCAACCATCACATTTTCCCAAACATGTTGAGTGCTTTGAATCCTCTTTTAACAACAAGACTCATGCTCAAGCTCAAGCCAAGCAAACATATTGAACTTTTGAACACCACAAATGAATTGAGTTATGGATTTAAGAAATTTTGTGATTAACCATAATTGTTCTGCCTGCCATCAGACATACCAATATGTTACAATCATCACATGATTTATTGAATATGGTAAGTGCTCTGAATCATCTTCTTACAATATAAGACTCATGCTCATACTCAATTCAAATCAACATACTTAAATACTGTGCACAGCAAATTGACTGACAATGAATTGCATAAATTTTGCAATTCATTACAAAAGCTTTGCTTGGCATCAACCATTTGAATACGCTGCAACCATCACATTTTTTCTCGAGTGTGTTAGTGCTCTGAATCATCTACCGACCCGAGTGGGTCACACATATTGCTTGCCTGTCCCGAGGTCAGCCTGCAAAAAAAATCCATCCACTATGAGCCAGTAACATACTGTACACATGGTGTAGGGCATGCTGAGCCTGGTGCACACACACTTTACTAAGGGCAAGCCAATGTCTATTGAATTTCTACAACTTTTTGTTTCAACTCAAACATGTTTTCAGCACACACTTGCTTGCCATTTCCTTAATGGCAAAATAAATCCACAAGACAGAAGTTCTCTATATGAAACATTTGGTGGTGAACAATATGACCCTTGACAGGCTCTCTTTTACTTTATGGCCTGCAAACCATGAAGCTATTTGCTGGGACATCACTGATACACTGGACACAGCAGATTCTGGAGCGGCACATTGTCTGCAGTCCGACCTCAAGCCTACTTGAGGTCCACTATGGCCAAGCACATCAAAGTTGTTAGAAAATAGGGGAAGAATAAAAAAGGATGTTCAGGAAGAAAAGGTCTGTGCAAATTCAGTCAGCCTTTGCAGTAATGCCTCACCAAAGTTTGAGTTGCTGTTTTCTTCAATTTGCTGAACCTCTTCCTCTTTTGGTTCTTCACGTGAAACACGTGTTGGTCGATCATGTGAATCATCTTCTCCTTCAGAATCAGTATATTGCGCACTCAGACTATTCAATGCGGACATTTTGGAGCTACAGAAATGGATCAGTCCAATACGTTCAACTCAAACTAACACACACACCAGTTTCTCCTGTGGCTTCTCAATTTCTAGCTGCGCCTGGTCCTCAGGCCGCTTGCAATTGCGCGCATCAGGTGCTTCTTAGATCCTAAATCCCCTCCAATATGACACCGGATCTTCTTACAATAATATGTAAGACAAAAACTGAGAATGTACACGGTTAACCTCACACCGTCTTTGTACTCATACACGGTGCTACTTCTATATTACCCCAACGCGTTGCCTGCGACTGGGACAACAACGCACACACCAACACACGGAGCCGCTTGAAGTACCCTTCGCTGTACTGCAAAATTGTTCAGGGTCGGACAAAATGATTGGTCCCTGTTAACTGGCCACCAAAAATGACTTAAATGACCAAAATAGACAATTTTGACGAAATTGGACAATTCATAACCAAAATGAGTATTTCACCCTGATTGGACTGTTGCCACCAATATGGACGCTTTCTCCGTCAACTTAACAAAATTGGTAACGGTAATGCCTGCGTAAGTCATTAAATGCACGAAAGAAATGTCTAGAAAGAGACGTCTTCCATCAGATTAGCAAAGGCCACCCCAGATAGGTGAAACAAATGACCAAGATATGTGGGGAAATCAAGAGTTTGTACCAGAATCTTGAATATTTTGCTAACAAGCAAAAACCACCATGTTCTTAAGCAAACTGACATCAACTTTGGAACTTTTTGGGACACAGACGCCATCATCCGCACTGAAGTTGCGCTCTTGGGCGAGTCGCTGATTAGCATTGAGTTCCTGACATACCTAAGCATCCGGGGGCGCAGACAGCTGGTGGGAGGGGAGGCATCCTCGCGTAAAGCCTTGCATGGCCCTCAGGAACATCGGCACAGATTGTCAAGGTCCCCCTTTAAGTGCTCGAATTGTTGAACGGAGGACGATCCCGGGGCAAAGGCTTGGCCTCCAAAAGGTCAGATCAAGGGAGTCGTTGCGCCTGTCGCGGGTCCCCGGGACGATGAAGGTGTCTATGCGGTCTGAGACCATCAATGCTGTTCAGTTGGTTGTGAGTCAGCTTGGACCCTAGGAGCCCATTTACGAAGCAGGGATAAGGCCGGCATCTACCATTGTTACTGAAGGCCTCTGTATCAAAGCACAGAGTGTTTAACAGTGGAGCGTGTCGGCAAGGGGCTCCTAGTCGCCCAAAGGCACATTTTGCTGAAGAGGAAAAGGACGGGACCCTGAATGTCAAATAGCCACTTGCGTTGGTCAAGGTACTCTTGCCTGATATGGGATGAAAGTGCAAGAAATGGCAACGTAATGGTCCACAATGAGGCAATAGAGGAGCCCTTGGCACGGGCCCGTTTGAGCCGGAGGCCCAATAACCCTAACCGTGGTTCATACTCCGGTTCATATAGGTGCTCTGGTGGTATGTTTTATTTCTGCCATAATTGTCTTTAAAACCTTTCTGAACTGATGATTTTGAGATCAGAGCTCACGCAAAGGCAAGATTGTTGAGTGTGCTCTAGAACTTATTACCTTCCTATACGTTACGACAGAACTTTTCGAAGAAATGCATTTTCTGTAATGCTTGGCACAGCCCACGGCTTTTTGATCTCCCTAGCATTAGCAGCCGCTGTCACCGACCGCAAACCATCCAAACCAGAAGTCAAATGGTGAGCGCACGTAGACGCAGCTAAGATAGAGAACGCAGAGGCTCACCTCCACCTCACAACAACCCCTACACACCTGGCTTTGAGTTCTCGCTGGGATACCCCGCTCCCGTGTTTGATTTTCCTGGATGTGCCCCTGCAAGCGCGTACATAGCAACTTGAAACCCCATAACGCCACCAGTGGGTTGGGATCGCCAGGAGCTGAAACCAAGTAAGTTGTGGAGGGCGACGAGCGAGTACTTTTGGTTGCAATTTAGTTCATTTTGGTGATTGTTCGTGTCTTTCCACCTGTAACCGAAGGTTTTAGCTCTGATATCTGGCTGGTCTACTATACAAGATTTTAGCTGGCACCCTTGGTGATCACTCAGTCTTTTGTAGATAAACTGGCTATTCCCACTCGTTGACGCGGTTGGTGATCATTGTGTTTTGATACTATTCTGGTAATCCAATTAATTTTTGTCCTCAAAATACAAAGTCTTGGCGGAGCATGTCTGTTTTGCTGCACGGATTATCGACAAACCTAATCTTTCAATTAACGGATGTGAGTACGATAAAGCTTTCAGAGACCATGACCACATTTCAAAGCATTTATTATCGTTAGATTTCAGCACCAAGCATATTTTGGAATATCAAAGGCAAGAACATGGCATTGATGATGATTCAAGAAACAGAACTCATGATGTGAGGGAGAAAATACATGTCATCGAATTTACCAGATTCGAGACTTCCAGCCAAGTGCAATTTATCGAGTGTTTTCTTAGAAAGGTTCCAGGACGAGAATGCGGCAGTAAATAAAAGGTGACCTCTTTAATCCAAGCTCCACGGAATGACGCTTGTGCGACGATCTCAGTGCTTAGAAAACAAATAAGACGGGTGGGATCGGTGGGACAACCCCGGTGGCACGGTCGTAATGCGCGTGGATGTGTGACGGGATCCGTCCACGCTCAGTATGTAAGTACGATTGAGCTGGCTGCTGCAGGTTTCTTTCAAGGTCTTGGAACGTGAGACTCACAGAAAAACAAGTTCGACCCAATTGGTCGGTTTGCTTGTCGCGAATCCTTGCGTGTGAAATATGCTACCACTTTTGCCGCAACTGCCACAAGATTTCCCCGGCCACCTTTGCGTTCATGCGATACGGGAAAGGGTTGTGTTCTCATAGCTTATGCGTCAATAAAATATTGATGTATAAATTCTCTGTTGTATCATTTAGGTGCACTGTACTAGGATGGCATAATTATATTTTGAAGGTGACTGGGTTGTGCTATTTTTTAATATACTGAGACATATGTGTGCTTTTGCCTGCTAGTATTACCAAGTAGCTCAGGCTGTCTTGCTTTTTTATCACACCCAGGCTTTTCTTGCTGCACCATTCTTTACATCAATCAAACACAATTTGCCTGCTTGTGTTAAGGAAGCACTCAAATTTACCTTTTAGCTGGAACACTCTCCATTGCAATTTGAGCCTTCATTGTTGCAAAAGTTATTTTGAATTGCATCAAAATGTGATAGATGTGAGTAAACTATTGCCATAATCCATTGATGATCCATTACCAAGGCTATTTTGTGTCTTAAAGGGAAAGAAAATGAATTTTATAAACAGCAGTGATTCTCTCAACAGGTCATAGAGCCTCACTCAGGCTGCCACAAGCTGGGCATTGTGCATTTTCATCAACTCTGATATTACTCCACAGGATGTGATGTGTCACATTTTGTGAGGTCTTGAGATGTCAATGTCAAGACTTGACATGATATATCAAGGCTTCACATATTATGAAGCATTGGCTAGTTGTAATGACAAAAGTGTACAACTAGCCAACAATGGCTAGTTGTGATGACAAAAGTGTGCACCACAAGTCATAGGCACAGGCATTTGTATGTTCTCATACAGACAGAACAGCTCTACCTGTTTGGGGGCATTTCAAAGATTGGTGCTAGATCTCAGCACCTGTAAGAGATGAAGATGTGACAACAATGATATGGTGCAGACATTTGATTCAACTACAGCTCACAAACATACCAGAAAGCTGTAGAACATAATTTTGCACTAGTTTTTTTACAGAAAGTGGTCAATACTGCCTTTTCTGAAACCATTTGAAGATACAATATATTGTGATTCACACCTAGAGAGACTAGGCCATCTAAAATACAAGGACATTTGTCAACATTTAGTTTAGGTATGTTAAGACACTTATCTGTTGTGGGTATGTCAATGTTGCATAGGCATGTTTTCTGGCAAAAAGTATGTTTTTTTATGTTTTTGTCACTTTTTTGTCACAGTCAAGTGGACAAGTTGTATCGGTCTAAAGATTCATTTATAGCTAAATTTATGCAGGTCAGATGATAAAATTAGTTCTGAGGATGTATACAGAACCTGAGGCAGGCCAACCTCGATGGGCCTGTGTGGCTCTTTGCTGACCATATGTTCTTATGTCTTTATGTTTAAACCAAAAGAGTGACCTTTTGTGTATTGTTTGTACACCTAGCATAATTTATATCATTGTGTATTGTGAAGGCAGTTGGCAGTTGAAGGTCCTTTCACATGGATTGGTCTGTTGAAGTCACAGTTTGACCACAATCTGGTCGTAGCACTGAACCTGATTCGTTGTGTGTGCTGCACCTCTGACACACATGTGAAGCCCCCATAATTGACTGTATTGGCCTCTTGACAAGAAAATACATAGAAAGTCAGCCTTGGTAATTTGTGATTGCATTTATTCATGGATTACATTACTTTGGAAGATGGCACCAATATATATATATATATATATATATATATATATATATATATATATATATATATATCTATATCTATATCTATATATATATATATATATACACATACACACATGGCAAAAATACTGACAAGCCCAAGTGTTTGGTCTCAAATGAAGACAGTGCTGCCTCACACACTATGTTATATTGTAGCACATTGAGTATTGCCTGCGCTTCTGGCTCTGAAGAGCTCTGGGGCCGTAGTTACACCTCTCTTATCAGGCAGTGTCTTGCCCAAGTCGCACGTGCCCCACAATGCAAGGCATCTAACAGTCACCTGCCATGCTCTGCTGGGGTCCTGGCAGAAGTTGTACCTCCTTTGTGCCACAGAGGTTTTGGCAGCAGTCAGCAATGGTCCTTGCAGTAGTTTTACCTCCCTTGTGGTGTAGAGTTTTTGGCAGTAGTCACACCTGTCTTGCTGTGGAGGGTTTCGCACGTGCCTCGCCGTGGAGATTTTACGCAGGCCTCGCTGTGCAGGATTCACACTTGCCTCGCTGCGCACACTTCACACCTGCCTCGCTGTGCAGGGCTTCACCTGCCTCACTGTGCAGGAGTCAGCACCTTCCTTACTGTGCACGGTTTGCGCCTGCCTCGCCGTGCAAAGTTCGCACAAGCCTCGCTGCGCACGCTTCATACCTGCCTCGCTGTGCAGGGCTTCACCTACCTCACTGTGCAGGAGTCAGCACCTTCCTTACTGTGCACGGTTTGCGCCTGCCTCGCCGTGCAAAGTTCGCACAAGCCTCGCTGCGCACGCTTCACACCTGCCTTGCTGTGCAGGGCTTCACCTTCCTCACTGTTCAGGAGTTAACACCCTCCTCACTGTGCACGGTTTGCGCCTGCCTCGCCGTGCAAAGTTCACACAAGCCTCGCTGCGCACGCTTCACACGTGCCTCGCTGTGCAGGGGTTCTGACGATAGGACAGTCGGAAGCCACGGCCCACTCGCCGCTCATTGGTGACGAACCTGGCGACGAACGGCCCGGCCGAGCGATCTGTGGACAGGGCGAGCGGTTAGTCGGCGCCCTCTCACACGTGCCACGCACAGCTGAACCGTGTAGGCGTGTAGTCAAGCTGCGTAATGGAAAGCCGGAACAACTGCCGCGCCGTACGGGGAGAAATCGAAACGTACTCGGACGAGGTCGCCCGCTGAGCGAGCGGGCCCGGTTTCTTCCGGACCCGAAACCGTATCCGCCAAGGTGTGCATAGCTGGCGCAGCTGTGCCGTTCCATAAAACGGGGGTCAGGTCGTCTTGTTCGTAGTCGCGGATGATGCGCCTGATTAGTTCCCATGGTGCTGATGTTGCCATCATCAGCCCATTATTCGCGGCGTGGGCGTGCGAACAATAACCCGCTGGTAACGACACTGGCTTGCCTTTCACGCGATGTCGACCCACTGGTGACGTGACACCGACCTGCTGGTGATGTGACATCGACCCTTTGGTGATGAGACACCGACAGACTGGTGACGTGACACCGACCCACTGGCGACGAGACACCGTCCCACTGGTGGCGTGACACTGACTCGCTTGTAACGTGACAGACCCATTGACAACACTGCCACGTCGCCAGGGCGAGTTTGCACCATGTCTGCGGCGTCAACACGCCGCGCACCCTCGGGCGCCGCGGCGCGCGCTCTGACCGGTGACGTCAGCGTTGTCGGTGAGCGTGCTGGTCATGGCCGCGTCGTTAAGCCTCTCTCCGCAGAGTCGGTCGGCGCCGAGCAGCAGGTAGTCGTCGGTGCAGAGGGCGGGCCCGACGCCGGCCTGGCCGGCTGGCACGGTCGGCTCGCCGGCCCCGACTGCGGTCACACGTCCGAACGGGTCACGCCCAGGTCACGCCGACGGTCGGCCGGCCGGCCGGCCCGCGCCGCCAGTACACAGCGAGGCGGCGACGGGACGGACGGGCGCCGTGCTGCGACTCCGCCGCTGATTCCGCCCTCCCCCCCCCCCCCTCCCAGTCAGAGCCGCTGGCATGGGATGAACGGCTGTCGGGTGATACCTGCAGCTTGACGCCGACGCAGCTCACACGGGTGTCACATCCGTGGGTAGTGAGCCCACGGGGTCGCCCGGACATTGATCGATACGTGCCGTTTTTACATCATTGTTGGGGACGTTCGCGTTTGAATCAGTATTTCTGAGCGCGCTGCCTGGGACTGCCTGGGTGCTATATAGCCCAGGCAGTCCCGTCCGCCCGGTATTCCCCCAAATCAAGACCTGTTTAGTGATGTCGTACTGGTGACGTGTCGCGAGCAGTAGTTTCGCACGCAGCGTCCGTCAAGGCTCACAGTTGGAGAAAGTTTTGAGTCGGTCTCAGTCACCCAGACTGTCGACGAGCATAGTGCCGCGAAAGTCCTATTCTGCAATGGCGAGTCATAGCTAGTGTCCAATGGCATGAGTCACAGCGTCTGCCGGACGGACCAGTCACCTGTGCTGTTGTCGGGCTTGAAGTTGACAATCTCGAACTCGTCCGCCTCGGCCATGGTGCCGAACTTGTCGGTCGAGTAGGTGATGCTGCAGAAGTCCACCTCCTTACGGATGCACATCGCGTAGTTCAGGTTGTTCTGGAGGGGCGATCGCCGATCAGTTTAACGACAGGTGCCGGCTGCATGTTGTGTAGCGCTTCTGATTCCCGATGTGAGTGTAGTAAATTGCACTGTTAGATCCTGTCTCGGCATCCTGGTCTCGCGGGGAGTCACTCCACTCGTGCCGTGGGAGCCGCTCCCTCACCCGGCACCGTCACATCTCGCTCTCTCGCGCAGCCCGAGCCCCGGCCGCTCACCAGATAGCCGGCGCCAGCGTCGCGCTCCATGTAGTTGATGCTGGCGATTTGCCCGGTGCGGCCGGTGTGGTACTGGAGGCAGTGCGGCGGCGCGGCGCCCGGCTGCCCCGGCCGCCACTGGCTCACCCGCACCCGCCAGCGGTGCGGCGCCAGCGACGACGTGACCACGCGCAGCTGCACCGGGCCCGGCCGCTCGCCCACCTCCAGGATCACTGGGGGCGTATCAGTGGGGACAGTCAGGGCAGGTCACAGCTCTGGGGTCAGTGTGGTCGGGGCGGCGGTCAGGGCAGGTCACAGCTCCGGGGTCACTGGCCGGGGCGGCGGTCAGGGCAGGTCACAGCCCCGGGGTCACTGACTGGGGCGGTGGTCAGGGAAGGTCACTCACGTGTTGTATGAGTGACTCATACGCGGTCCACATTTCGGGGCTAGCACCCTTAACATTCGGATGCAGCGCAGCGCGGTTATCGCCGATCACAGCCGCACTATCACCCCTCGCGCCGCATGCCGGCGCCGCTCGTCCCGGCCGGTATCGGCCGCGCCGGGCGCCAGTGTGTCGGGCGCCGGCGGCGGACGGGTGTACTCACGATGCTGCCCGCTGTTCTGTCCGCAGATGGTCGGCACCAGGCTGTTGCCGTCCTGCCCGCTCACACTGAACAGGTCCCGGGTGCAGGCGCCGTCCGACTGGCCTGCCATCTGCCGGCACGATTGCTAACTGCAACGGCAGGTGGGTGCCAGCCGAGCGCCACGGTCGGGCTACGAAGGACCGGAATTAACGCCAGTTTATTGTCTTAAGAGGTACTGAAAATGCAGAGAACTGTTAACATCATGCGGGTGGAATGAGTCACGCACCGTTCGTTGTTCTTACTCGTTCTAAGAAACACCTGCAGTTCTCTTGTTTTCTGACTTAAATTCGTTTAGCCTGCCGGTAAATGAGTGGCTCTTCAGATGAAGTGTGAATGACGCCCCCACCCCCCCCCCCTCCCCACCCTCCGTCCTGCCCCTCTGCTGCCAGCCGGCCTGACGTGTGGTGTCCGGCCGCCGCCAGGATGGGCTCGGAGCGGCCGGCCGTGCTGCGGCAGCGCTCCTCGGAGCGCGGCGACGCCGGCCTGGCTCTCGAGCACACCATCTGCCTGCTGGAGCGCGGCACGGCCGTCACGCGCTTCTGCCTGCGCCGGCGACCCGAGCGCAAGTCGCTGGCCGTGCGCCGCGAGACGGGCCAGCTGATCTGCCTGAAGGCCAGCGTGCCGGAGCGCGGCCGCGGCGACGACAGCGAGATGCTGCTCGACCTGCGGACGGTGCGGCAGGTGCGACGCGGCCGCGGCTCGCGCGAGTTCGAGCGCTGGCCGGAGGAGGCGCGCCGCTGCGACCCGGCCAAGTGCTTCGTGGTCAGCTACGGCACCCAGTTCTGTCTGAAGACGCTGTCGGTGGCGTGCCTGTCGGAGCGCGAGTGCGACACGTGGCTGCGCGGGCTCGGCGCGCTCGTCGTCGAGGCGCAGGAGACGCCGTACCCGTCGCAGGTGATCCGGTGGCTGTTCAAGGAGTTCTACGGCATGGGCGGCGCCGTCACGCTCAAGGACCTGAAGGCGTTCTTGCCGCGCGTCAACTGCAAGCTGTCGACGGCACGGCTGAAGGAGCTCTTCCAGGAGGCGGACGAGGCGAAGAAGGGCCGCATCATGTTCGACGACTTCCTGCGGCTGTACTACCGCACTGTGTGGGACCCGCAGGTGCTGGTGGGTGACCTGCAGCGGCTGGTGCGGCCCGGCGAGCCCGTCTCCGTCGCCATCTTCTGCCGTTTCCTGCAGGACGAGCAGCACGACCGGCTGGGCGCCGACGAGGCGGCCGCCGGCCAGTTTCTGCGCGACTACCTGCGCGACCCGCAGCGCGACGTGCAGGAGCCGTTCCTCAGCGCCGACGAGTTCGTCGGCTACCTGTTCAGCCGGCAGAACGAGCTGTGGGACGCGCGCCACTCGTCGGTCACGCAGGACATGACGCGGCCGCTGGCGCACTACTGGATCGCCTCCTCGCACAACACGTACCTGACGGGCGACCAGTTTTCGTCTGAGTCGTCGGTGGAGGCGTACGCGCGCTGTCTGCGCCAGGGGTGCCGCTGCATTGAGCTCGACTGCTGGGACGGCCCGGACGCCACGCCGCTCATCTTCCACGGTCACACGCTCACCTCCAAGATCAAGCTGGTGGACGTGGTGCGCTGCATCCGCGACAACGCCTTCGTCACGTCCGAGTTCCCTGTCATCCTGTCGATCGAGGACCACTGCAGCCTGCCGCAGCAGCGCAAGATGGCGGCCGCCTTCCACGAGGTGTTCGGCGACATGCTGTTGACGGCGCCCGTCGACCGAGCCGAGAGCGAGCTGCCGTCGCCGCAGGCGCTGCGCCGCAAGATCCTCATCAAGCACAAGAAGCTGCCCGAGGGCTCGGACGAGGTGGTCGTCACTAGTCAGGACGACGGCTTCGACGGGCTCGATCTGAGCGACAGCCTCAAGAACGGTATCCTCTACCTGGAAGACCAGGTGTACGGCGACTGGACGCCGCACTTCTTCGTGCTGGCCAACCAGCGTCTGTACTTCACAGAGGAGCACTCTGCCGAGCCGGCCGACGACGACGGTGACGAGGCCGAGCCGCTGCCGCCAAAGGCGAACGTGCCCAACGACGAGCTGCACTTCGGCGAGAAGTGGTTCCACGGGCGGCTACAGGGCGGCCGGCAGCGCGCCGAGCAGCTGCTGCGCGAGTATTCGTACCTCGGCAACGGCACGTTTCTGGTGCGCGAGAGCGAGACGTTTGTTGGCGACTACTCGCTGTCGTTCTGGCGCAACGGCAAGGTGAACCACTGCCGCATCCGCACCCGGCCTGAGTGGGGCCAGAACAAGGTGTACCTCATCGACACAGTAACGTTCGACTGCCTGTTCAACCTCATCAACCACTACCGCGCCAACCCGCTGCGCACGCAGGACTTCAACATGCTGCTGTCGGAGCCGGTGCCGCAGCCCAATCAGCACGAGGGCAAGGACTGGTACCACGCGGACTGCTCCCGCGACCGTGCCGAGGAGATGCTGCGTCGCGTGCCGCAGGAGGGCGCCTTCCTGGTGCGGCCGAGCCAGCGCGACGCGGCCGCGCTCTCGCTGTCGTTCCGCGCCGATCGGCGTATCAAGCACTGCCGTGTGCGCCGCGACGGCCGCCTCTACGTCATCGGCACCGTGCAGTTCGAGAGTCTGGTCGAGCTGGTCGCCTACTACGAGAAGCACCCGCTGTACAAGAAGGTGCGGCTGCGCTACCCGGTGACGGAGGAGCTGGTGGCGCGCGCCGCGCCCGAGAAGGGCGGCGCGCCGGCTGACGGCCACGCCTCCGGCACCTACATGGACCCGGCGTCGTTCGCCGCCAAGGTGACGGTGCGCGCGCTGCACGACTACCGGGCGCAGCGGGACGACGAGCTCACGTTCTGCAAGCACGCCGTAATCACCAACGTGAGCAAGGAGAACGACGGCTGGTGGCGCGGCGATTACGGAGGCCGCCGCCAGCTCTGGTTCCCCAGCAACTACGTGGAGGAGGCGGAGGCGTCGGACGAGGCCGACCCGTCCGTGCTCGGCTCGCTGCAGCAGGGCTCGGTTGCGCTGCTGCGCGCGCAGGTCGAGCTGCTGCCGGCGCCTCCCGCCGCCGACGGCGCGCCGCAGCTGGAGTGTGTGCTGCGCGTGCTGCCGGCCACGTCGCTGACGCCGGTCGACCTGGGCTGCGCCAGCTGGACCGAGGGGCGCGACTGGGAGCAGCGCGTGCGCCAGGTGGCCGAGAGCGGCCAGGATGCGGGCGGCGCGCGCCGTGACATGGAGCGCATCAAGCGCATCGCCAAAGAGCTGTCGGCGCTGATCGTGTACTGCCGTACCGAGACCTTCCAGCCGGAAAAGTTGCGCGACGGCCGCGTCTTCCAGGAGATGTCCAGCTTCCCCGAGACCAAGGTGGAGAAGTGGGTGCAGCCGGCGCAGGTCAAGTTCTTCCTGTGGTACAACCGGCTGCAGCTCAGCCGCGTCTATCCCAAGGGCCAGCGCATCGACTCCTCCAACTACAACCCGGTGCCGATGTGGAACGCCGGTTCGCAGATGGTGGCGCTCAACTACCAGACGCCGGACCGACCGATGCAGCTGAACCAGGCGCGCTTCATGCAGAACGGCGGCTGCGGCTACGTACTGCGTCCAGCCTTCATGCAGGGCGACGAGTTCGATCCGTTCGACAAATCGACGCTGCCGTTTCCGCCCACCGTCTACACGCTGCGGATCGTGGCCGGCCGGCACCTGATGAAGCAGGGGCGTGGCCTGGTCAGCCCGTTCGTCGAGGTCGAGGTGGTCGGTGCCGAGTACGACAATTTCAACAAGTACACCACGCGCGTGGTGCCCGACAACGGCCTGGCGCCCGTCTGGAACGAGACGTGTCAGTTCACCGTCCACTGTCCGGCACTGGCGCTGTTGCGCTTCGCCGTGCACGACGAGGACATGTTCGGTGACCCCAACTTCCTCGGCCAGGCCACGTACCCGCTGCCTTGCGTGCGACCGGGCTTTCGCAGCGTGCCGCTGCGCAACGGCTTCGGCGAGCTGCTGGAGCTGGCCTCGCTGCTGGTGCGACTGGACGTGCGGCCGGCGGAGCCAGCGCCGCCGTCCGTCAACCAGGCGCTGGAGGGGCTCGTGCTGCCCGCGCCCGACGGCGGCTCCGTCATCGCGCCGCTGCGCTCCCAGTGAGCGGGCCGCACGCCGCGCCGCGCGGGCCTGTGTGGTGCGGCGGGCCGGGCCGGGCCGGGCCTCCGTGCGCCGGAGGGAGGACTCGACGGTGGGAGGAGAGTCCGCGGAGGGGGCGAGCCCCGGATCTGGAGGAGTCGGCCGCCGATCTGATGGCCCAGTGGCGCCGCCACGCCCGGCGCCCGGCCGCCAGAGGGCGGGGCGCGCGAGCGGACCCGTTTTGCGAGCTTCCCCGCCGTGCATGCGGACGGCATGGCAGCCCACGTGTGATCGGCTTGGTGCTATGTGGACCGGTGATGGCTCACCTGTCGCCTGTTGCGGTGGCTAGCGTAGCTCGCATGTGAAAGATTATTTTCGCCGTTGGCACGGTGGTTTTTTGTACGGTCATTTTCGCTGCGTTCCGCTTTGTGATTGGAATATCCTTCTATGTGGCGGTCCGCCTAGCTTGCCGCGGTCGGGTTGTCTCTGTTCGTCTCGGTCAGAGCCGGAGAAATAGCGATTGTTGATGAACCTCGCCGCGTCGCACTGTATTCAGCCAAGCGATGGGGTTGTTTCTTTGTCACTTGTGCAATTGGGCAACTAGTTAGGTTCTCCACGGCCATATTGGAATTTCACCTGCAAATGTTATATTGATTTTCGTCTATTGACGGCAGCGAACCTTGCCGACCTCTGTCAGCATCATGCCCTGAGTTAAATCGCATGGGTAAGGTTGCGCAACTGATTAGGAAAGAACTTCCCCTACAGCCTGTGCAGTGTACGGGGGAAGCGCGTGTGCTGGCCGTGCTTGCTGGGAGCGGCGCGGCGGTCTGTGGACCACAGGTGTTACGAAACTGAACGGGGTGACCAATGATCCCCGGAGTGTTCAGCGTTCCTGAACTGCACGTGGACCAACCAGCCGTGGATGGAGTTGCGTGTTTGCCTCAGCCGGATGATTCATTAGTTTCGCACGCTCGGCACGTCGGGTGCACAAAGTCGTGAAGTGGGCGGGAGAAGACAAGCTTAATATGCTGTGTGGCCTGCGCGTGAGAGCACGCCCCCGGTGTGCCCTGCGCGTGAGAGCGCGCCTTCGGCGTGGTCGGCGCATGAGAGCACGCCCCCGGTGTGGCCGGCGCGTGAGAGCACGCCCCCGGCGTGGCCTGCGCTTGAGAGCACGCCTTTGGTGTGGCCGGCGCGTGAGAGCACCCCCGGTGTGGTCGGCGCGTGAGAGCACGCCCCCGGTGTGGCCTGCGCGTGAGAGCACGCCTTCGGTGTGGTCGGCGCGTGAGAGCACGCCTTCGGTGTGGTCGGCGCGTGAGAGCACGCCTTCGGTGTGGCCGGCGCGTGAGAGCACGCCTTCGGTGTGGCCGGCGCGTGAGAGCACGCCTTCGGTGTGGTCGGCGCGTGAGAGCACGCCTTCGGTGTGGTCGGCGCGTGAGAGCACGCCTTCGGTGTGGCCGGCGCGTGAGAGCACGCGTCCGGTGTGGCCGGCGCGTGAGAGCACACCCCCGGTGTGGTCGGCGCGTGAGAGCACGCCTTCGGTGTGGTCGGCGCGTGAGAGCACACCCCCGGTGTGGCCGGCGCGTGAGAGCACGCCTTCGGTGTGGCTGACGCGTGAGAGCACGCGTCCGGTGTGGCCGGCGCCTCAGAGGACGCCTTCGGTGTGGCCGGCGCGTGAGAGCACGCGTCCGGTGTGGCCGGCGCGTGAGAGCACGCCTTCGGTGTGGCTGACGCGTGAGAGCACGCGTCCGGTGTGGCCGGCGCCTCAGAGGACGCCTTCGGTGTGGCCGGCGCGTGCGAGCACGCCTCCAATGTGGCCCGACCAGGTGTCCCTCACTGCGAGCTCTGGGGCACACGCGACTCACGCACGCCGTCCGCCTTGTTGTGCTCGGTGAGAAGAGTGAGGCGGACCCCCGTGCCGCAGCGAGGCCGATCCGGCACTCTGGTCGGCCGCGGGTGCTCCCGGCCGAACCAGCGTGAGCGGGGGCCGTCGCACCGTCAACGGACGTCCGGCCGCGTGCGCTGCGCCGGGCCCCAGCCCGCTGCCTCGCATCGCGTCCCTATTGTGACTACACGCCATGTTTTCACGCGACTTGTGATGCATCCCACTCTATTTTATCGCAATATATATCTATTTCTGCGACGTGTGTGGATCGAAGCGAGCGTGCTGGGTCTTAGGTGGCCGCTTGCGGATGTGGAATGTCTGATATCATTGCGGTTTGCTTGCATCCACAATATCTAAATATGTTCACAAGCACGCGTGCACGCAGGCACTCACGCGCACGTACACGCATACGTGCGTACGCATGTACGCACACGCACGCACGCACATGCACATGCGCACACAGCTACCGCCCGAGCCGCCTCCGTCTCTGATCCGCCGGGGACCGGTGTGAGGACGTACGTACCTCGAACTGGACCAGGTCCAACCGGACCTGCGTGACATCCGGCGCCGCCTTCTGGACCGTGAAGGCGCACGCGCGGACCGCCTCGCCTGCCGCCGGGTGCTCGGGGTTCACGAAGTACGTGTTGTTGTGCTCCGTGGCACCGCCGCACGATCCGGTCACTGCAACGGACGTGCTTAACTACGGCACGCGCGCAATGACTGCGACCGACCCGCTGTAAGTGCAGCGAGCGAGTTACGTCTGCAGACAGCTTACTTTAGACGTGAGGAAAGTGACACAAGTCAGCGGACATGCAACAGCTAACAGATGTACAGCAGCCGCGGAATGATGCGCTACGACTGCAGCAATGCCAGCTAGGACCGTCACGGCTGTCAACTGTAGCACTCGGGTGATGCAGCCATGTTGACGGGCATCATAACCCAGCAGCCCGTGTTGCACCCCCGCGCGCGTCCCAAATCTATTGCGTCCGTAGACTTTTGAGCTTTTAGTTCTTGCATCAGGCAACAGCGGGCAGCACACGGGTCTCTCGGTGCGTTGTTGTGTAAACTTGGGCAGTGTAACCGTTACTGTTACTTGCATAATGTCAATAACTTGTCGCCGGGCACGCGATGGGTACCTCCGCTGCATTACCCAACAAGTCATTACTAGCTACCCATGTAGTTGAAGCCGTGTGCTCCGTCGCACAACGCGGCACACGGAGGACCACAGCCGAGTACTCACGGACGCAGCAGACGCCGAATCCCTGTGCGCAGCGTTCGGAGGCGGCCCCTCCCCTCTGGACGCACTGGGACGGCAGAAGACAGGTGCCGAGTCCGCCGCCAGCCTCTGACCCGCAAGGGCCGTTGGTGAACCGGACCAGGGTCAGCAGAGGCAGGGCTGGGGAGCGGAGGAGGGGTCAGCAGCGACAGACCTGAGGTCAGCAGAGGTTAGCAATGGTAGGTCTGGGGAGGTGAGGGGTATGGCAGTTATATTCCTGAAGAGGTCAGGGAAGGTCAACAGCCGCGAGTTTGGGAAGATCAAGGAAGGTCAGCAGTTACAGGTTTGGGAGATCCTGGAATGTTAGCAGCCACAGGTTTGGCGAGGTCAGGGAAGGTCAGCGACAGGTCTGGAGAGTTGAAGAGAGGCCAGCAGCGGGAGGAGGAGGTGGGGTCAACTCGGCCGTGGAACGGAGTGAGGGGGTGATGTGAGGTTGGGTTAGTGGCGACAGGTCCGAGGCGTTGTAGATGCGGCTGCAATCCCATAGGTAGCGAAGGTATGTGTGGGGTGTCAGAAAACACCCATGTGATAGTCAGTGAATGTTTGCGTAGTGTGGCGAGCGCCGCTTCGAGGCGATCGTGTTCCCCTCCTCCCGTCCCAGGCGCCCCGTGCGAGGGACGCAGCCGCGAGAGTCAGGAGAGGAGGCGGTGACAAGGAGAAGAGTGAGAGCCGCCGGCGCGGGGGCGGACGCGCCGGCGGGACGGACTGTGGCGAGTGCCTGTGACGCGTGTCAAATACAGAAGTGACTTTAGAAGTACCTTGTGTACCAGTGGGCCGGAGGTGAGGCACCTGAACAGCAGAAGTTACATATGTACAGAGAACGCACGGTGCCTACGGCACCAACGCCAGTCTCGATCAAGTTGTTACTATCGTTATATCATAATTGCAGGTCATGTCCGCAATGCGCAGCCAACGGCATAGCTTACGTAGAAACTTGTGGGTCTTCCACCCGCCAACTGACTTCACCTCTGCTCTCGTTCCCACTTCGACATCGTTGTCGACACTGTCGTCACCGCTCTCTCCTGGGTTCTCCTTTGACGACGGCCCCCGCCGTTGTCCTTCGGCCCTTCTCTCCTCCCAGCCCGACTGTCCCGGAAGACGGGAGTCGCTCAGGCGCGGTGGGACCCGCCCGGCAGCCGCAGCGTCACGAGGTCCGTCTCCGCCCGGAACCTCACCGCTGGGTGCGGGCCGAGTGGCGTCGACCGTCGGCGCGGTGCGGGGCGGAATGGCGTCCGTCGTCGTCCTCGGACCCTCTGCCGATGCCTCCGGAACCGCAGAGATCGTCGCTAACGACAGGAATGTGGAGTTGATACTCAGCACCAGCTCCGGAGCTGGGGAGGTCGGCCCCGTCTGTGTCAGCACCGGCGCAGCCGTGTGGAGCGGCGGCGGACCGCGGAGGGGCCGGCCGCGGTACCTGCCATGGTAGAAGTCGGGTGCTCGGCCCCACCTGACCTCGGCTCCGGCCGGAACCGACGACGGCAGCTGGGCTAACAGTAGGGTCAGCGCCGACAAGCACGGTCCCAGTGCCATCAGCACGAGGGCAAAACAACAGGCGAGATTGCAGCACCATCAGCTTCGAGAGCCGGAGGGTAGCCAAGTTCTTACTGCCATTTCCCCTTGTGCTTTCGGCGTTACTGCCCCGGCATCGCTTCACAATGCTTCCCGAAAAATGTCGCTCCGCTCACATTAATCGCCAACGACACAAAACACAAAAAGCACCAAACGTTCTCAACAACACGTTCTCACTTCCGGCCCGCCATCTTCTAGCCCGTTTGTCGTTCCCCCAGCCCGGCCTTCGCGGCGCACTCCCGGCGACTACTGATGCCGCGACCCATCCCCTGCGTGCCGCCGGCCGTCGGGTCACGCCCGGTGACGCTAGGTCACGGCGGCTGCTCGCGCCGAGTGGCCGGCGCGCTCGCTGTCGCCGCCCGCCGACGGAAAAACGGAGAGGAAGCTCCGTCCGGCCCGAAAACGAAAGTGAGCACGCGGAACTGTCACGGCCGCGTTCTCCCAGGAGGGAGCTGGCTTCCGTCGGCTCATCCCGCCGGAGAAAGCAGTGCAAGGCGTCCTGCGTCTGCAGGGGAGTTCGAAATCCACCAGGAGGCGGTGATCCGTGAAAGGCAGCAGCAGCCAGCTGCCAAAGAAAAAGCCATCTCCACGCATTAACATCCTGCGATCGAAGGTCGCGAAAAATCGAGCAGTTCCTGACCAACAGTGACAAGTTCTAAGCCAAGCATTTCCGGTTCGCCACTGTGTCTGCTCCCGCAGCCTCCCTTCACTGTAGCTCTCTCCGCGCCGGGCGGCACGGTCTTCGCCACTGGAGGACGCACCACGTGGCCGCGCGGCGCTGGCCGTGACCGTTGATGGTGGCGCCCGTCAGTGCCGTATGCTCACGGCCGGTTGTTCCGGTCGGCCTCGCGCGACAGCGACCGCTGGCGTCCGATCCAGTCACGCCCGTGCCCCGAACCGGCCGCTCGGCGGCACTGATGATTTCGTATGAGAGCGGGGGAGAGGGAGGGCTCGCGCGAGCTGGCGCAATGGCAGGCGGCTCCGCAACGCGGGGGTCGCTTACAAATGATTGTTACGAGTCATCGCGTCGGAAAATGAGCTGACGATTGTGTCAGAGGAGGTGCTCCGGTGGGGTCAGAGGATGCGTTCCGGTTGTGTCAGGAGATGTGCTCCGCTTGTGTCCGAGAATACGCTCCGGTTGTGTCCGAGGATGTGCTCCGGTCGTGTCAGAAGATGTGCTCCGGTTGTGTCCGAGGATGTGCTCCGGTTGTGTCAGAGGATGTGCTCTGGTTGTGTCAGAGGGTGTGCTCCGGTTGTGTCAGAGGATGTGCTCCGGTTGTGTCGGAGGATGTGCTCCGGTTGTGTCAGAGGGTGTGCTCCGGTTGTGTCAGAGGATGTGCTCCGGTTGTGTCAGAGGATGTGCTCTGGTTGTGTCAGAGGGTGTGCTCCGGTTGTGTCAGAGAGTGTGCTCCGGTTGTGTCAGAGGATGTGCTCCGGTTGTGTCAGAGGGTGTGCTCCTGTTGTGTCAGGGCATGTGCTCCGGTTGCGAGCTGCCGGCACGGTTTGGGACGCTTTCGCTAGCGACACATGCTTTTTATAAAGAGCATTGCTGCTCGCCTGCCTCCCTGCTGTTTTTCGTGCTGATGTCGTTCGTAAGATTTCTTATTCGATTACACTTCCTGGTTTATACTTATTTCTGTAGTTATAGCATATACAAAACATCGATGCGTCCGAATCACGCGCGCAAAATTTGCTTTAAAAACATGGGTACTGGCGTTGGTACTGTGGTAAAACCACTATCACCACCAGTACAGCACCACACCAGCTACGAACAGCCCGGAGCCAGCAAGCTCCGACTGGTGTCCTTTCTGGCTGGCACCGGCTGCCGATGCCAGCCTAAACACCTCTCCAGTACGGGCGATACCGATTCAGCGCCGGTTGGTAGTACCACCATGCCGAAACACTGCATGTCTCTGCGAAACACAGTGGTAAGGATCCAAAGTCCAGGCACAGTCATGAAGTTCTATTTCCCGGTGAATATGCATTCAAACCATGAATATTAATTGACCTTATTTTATTGGCAACAACAAAGGTCTATTTGCGTAACGAGCACAACTTCCAAGTAGACGTGAGGTTAATCAAGACGTGCTGGAATATTTGCATGTATTTGTAGTTTCGTGACCGTTCATACCTTCTGTATTTAAGTGGGTATTAGAGTGGCTTAAGCTCACTCAGCCTCTTACCATTGGTCCCTCCCTGTCTGCCACACAGACGATGTTCCCTGAATATTAAGCTGTTCTTTCCGGTCTAATTTCGCTCTGCTCTTGGTCCGGTATTACCCCGATCCATGGCCTCGGGTGACAGCGCGTGACCTGAGGATGCGGACATGCCAGCTTCATGGAAACAGCACGGAACATGAGGCTGTGGACACACCAGCCTCATGGAAACAGCACGGGACATGAGGATGCGGACACGCCGGCTTCATGGAAACAGCATGGGACATGAGAATGCGGACACACCGGCTTCACGGAAGCAGCACGGGACATGAGGCTGCGGACACGCCAGCTTCATGGAAACAGCACGGGACATGAGAATGCGGACACGCCGGCTTCATGGAAAAAACACGGGACATAAAAATGCGCACACGCCGGCTTCACGGAAGCAGCACGGGACATGAGGCTGCGGACACGCCAGCTTTACGGTAGCAGCACGGGACATGAGGCTGCGGACACGCCAGCTTCACGGTAACAGCACGGGACATGAGAATGCGGACACACCGGCTTCACGGAAGCAGCACGGGACATGAGACTGCGGACACGCCAGCTTCACGGGGCCAGCATAGAATCTGAAGCTGCGGACACGCTAGCTTCACGGCAACAGCACGGGACATGAGGCTGCGGACACGCCAGCTTCACGGTAGCAGCATGGGACATGAGGTTGCGGACACGCTAGCTTCACGGCAACAGCACGGGACATGAGGCTGCGGACACGCCAGCTTCACGGTAACAGCACGGGACATGACGCTTCGGACACGCGAGCTTCACAGGGGCAGTACGGAACCTGAGGCTGCGGACACACCAGCTTCACGAGGGCAGTACGGTACCTGAGGTTGCGGACACGCCATCTTCACGAGGGCAGTACGGAACCTGAGGTTGAGGACACGCCAGCTTCACGGGAAAAGCTTGCATCCAGCACCACGATGACTGAGTATTTGGGAGCTTGTACTATAGCGATTGGACAGCCAGGCTTCGTTCTGGTTTACGCGCTCCGTACATTACTGATGGCGTCAAAATCTGTTAGCACGACATGTTTTTCTTTTTATTGTAGTATGAAATTCTTCCTGGATTTTTTACCCGATTTAATGAAATTTAATAAACAAATCACAGCGACGCATGGCGCGATTTTTGTTATAAAAAGGTCCACCAAAACCGGGTAGAAAATGCGTAATTACTCTACAAAACGTTATGCAGCCTTGCGCTTGACCGCAACAGAGTTTATCCTGGGATAAAGTCTAGGCGCGAACCGCTACCGGAGCCGGCGCCGCCTTGAGCCATGTCAGTCATGTCCCCACGCATGCGCACAGACTGTAACGTGCGGTCAGTTGGGAGCGGGGCCTAGTTGTCATGCGAGACCATGCAGCATCATAGCTGTGTTCCAGATCGAGCTGAAAAATTGCATTTCCGCCTGCGGAAAGAAAGTTTTAATAGCGGTCCAATTTTGAGGGAACATTTTTCTAAAGTTTTTCATTGTGGTCGAATATGGAGGGAACTTTCTTGAAAATTTCATGCAGGCTTTAATGTGGTTTACGTCTTTAGGTTGATGAGACCAAGCCAAAGATTTGACGATTGCTGTCCATAAAAATTTCACATAAGGGCTTTGCTGCCGACGCCAGGTGGTTACTGCCGCGAATCTGCCCCGCAAATGTCCCATCAATATGCGACGTAATGTTCAAGCGAGCCTCAGCCTGATGTGGCGAGACCCACGCCCACTCAAAACACAAGCCATATCAGATGCATTCGTCAGATGGCACCTCGTCGAATTTCGTCTAAAAGCAACAGAAATCAGCGCCAGACATGCCCGTCTGGCCATGAGTGGCCCTTCGCCGCAGACTTCCTCATATCCCCTCCCCCTCCCCCTTCAGCGAGCCATGACCGGATCCTTTGATAAGGTCGCCGGCGGCTTGCGTGGCTTGTGAAACCGAGGCGGCTTGCCGGTGACAGGAGCACAAACCCAGTGGTGAAGCATCACTGCACCACCGCACCACGGAGACATCGGTCACGCACCCAGCCTCGCCAGCGTCCTGATCGCGGATCCTGGCCACGTCACCGTCTGGAGCACGGAGCCTGGCCACGTCAGCGTCCGGATCACAGATCCTGGCCACGTCAGCGTCCGGAGCACGGGAGCACGGATCCTAGCCACACGGATCCTGGCCACGTCAGCGTCCGGGGCACGGATCCTGGTCACATGGATCCTGGTCACGTCAGCGTCCGGATCACGGATCCTGGCCACGTCACCGTCTGGAAAACGGATGCTCTCCACTTCAGCGTCCAGATCATGGATCATGGCCACGTCACCGTCTGGAGCACGTATCCTGGCCACGTCAGCATCCGGATCATGGATCCTGGCCACGTTAGCGTCCGGAGCACGGATCCTGGCCACGTTAGCGTCCGGAGCACGGATCCTGGCCACGTCAGCATCCGGATCATGGATCCTGGCTACGTTAGCGTCCGGAGCACGGATCCTGGCCACGTCAGCATCCGGATCATGGATCCTGGCCACGTTAGCGTCCGGAGCACGGATCCTGGCCACGTTAGCGTCCGGAGCACGGATCCTGGCCACGTCAGCATCCGGATCATGGATCCTGGCCACGCTAGCGTCCGGAGCACGGATCCTGGCCACGTCAGCGTCCGGAGCACGGATCCTGGCCACGTCAGCGTCCGGATCACGGATCCTGACCACGTCGGCGTCCGGATCAGGGATCCTGGCCACGTCAGCGTCCGGAGCACGGATCATGGCCACGTCAGCGTCCGGAGCACGGATACTGGCCACGTCAGCGTCCGGATCAGGGATACTGGCCATGTCAGCGTCCGGATCACGGATCCTGGCCACGTCAGCGCCTGGAGCACGGATCATGGCCACGTCAGCGGCCGGATCACGGATCCTGGCCACGTCAGCGTACGGAGCACGGATCATGAGTTATTATTAGTCAGTGCTGTTTCTTACGTTGCTATTTGTTACTACTTAGTTATAACTGATATTCAACAATGACATGAGCATGGGTGCAGGAACAGTGGGGGAGGGGGATAACAGGGCCAGGCTCCCCTTCCACATACGCACACACTTTTCAAGGTGGGTGGGCCAGCAATACTAGCTCCCACCCCGCTTTTCAGAACTGATTTGCATTTAGCTTGCTCTTGTGCAAGCTAGCTGCATAGCAAGCTAGCAAGCTAGCCACAAGCAAGCTACACGGCCACCTCATTCGCCATGTAGTGTTCAAGGCGTGGATAGACATCATCATCGAGCTATTCGCGTCCGGCGTAGGCGAGCACGATACCTAACATCAACAGACTTCAATTGTCCCTGTATCAAGATGACGCGCTTCATGCAGGTTTCAATCACGATTTTGGTTGTTTGGTTGCCTGGATTAGAGCCCCTTCGACCAGAAGTTATCACTTCTGGGTTATGAGATGAAAGAGAATGGATAATGGGGCAGGACTACATGTGCCGGGAGGGGGGGGGGCAACCAACGAGCTTTAACACGCCCCCGGGTCGCCGGTTGAATACGCTTCGCTCGGGTGGGGGGGGGGTCAATTTGACCCCCTGAGATATCGGGAACTAAGAGAGCTAGAGATGCCAAATACACAGAGTGTGTTGACCTGTACGTGAACACTCTTAGATCAAATTTTTAAGTTCCTAGATCATGACCTTAGGATCAGATAAGGTCAAACAAGGTCAAATTCCACGTTGGTTACTAAAGGGCCCTAGAGCCTAGGCACCTATTCTAAGAAAAATGTCACGCGCTCAGATAAGGTCAATGACCTTGTTTGACCTTTTAAAGGTCATGATGACCAGAATGATATAAGCCTGCTTTGAGCTTTGCATTTGGATAAGTGACAAAGATTACGCCAGGCAGTATGTTACTAAAAACAAAAAGTTGACCTTGAGTAATTTTAGGTCAGTGACCTATTCTGACCTGTCAGAAGTCCATGGAAGGCGTATAATGCGGTTCCTGCTATCGATATATTCGAAATGAGCACTAAATTGTTGTGCCGCCCATGAAAGTATCTCAGGGATGTATGGCTTCGTCTCACACGCCGTTGCTTGATCGGATTGAACGATTCCCCAGAACGTGCCTTTCCTGAAGCCATGGCCCGACTTTGATCCGTCAGGTCAAGTTGACCGCACCCGAGCGCGTGTTAACCCGCGGCACAAGAACCCCTCGGAGCGTGCGCTTGGCGCCCGGTCGGGATCCCCCCCCCCCCCCCCCCCCCAGGGAGCCTCCCGGCTCACTCGTTCCTGACGCAGGCGGCATGCCCCGGACGATTGGAGAGTCGCGAGGATGCAGGCTAAAGCGATAAAGACGGCAAGAGGGTCGGATGTCCGAACCGGAAATAAGACTGGATCAAATAACTTTGGGGTAGCGTCATAACTGAGCATGTCATACAGGAAAAAATATAAAATTGTCGATTTTTATACAAGGACACTACGAGCAATGGTCAAAAAAGGCGCACATAGCGATGTTTTTGCTGGAAATGCCGCCCCGTAGCACGATACCTTTGGAGAAATTGAAGTACCATGAGTGAGCCTGCCCGTCTGCTTCAGAGCAGCTACGATGCCAATTTTGCACGGGCGATTTGGGAACCCCTCGCAAGTCACATAGATGTTCCATGACGCAATCAAATGATGACGCATTGAGGAGTGCATTTACCAAGTGGGGATACTTTATTTGGTGGCGATCCTTTGTGGTGTCTTTTGCACTTATAAGCACATCAATAGTTGTAAGCAAGCTTGTTTCAACATACCTGATGCCTGCCTCAATGCCCTGAAATGTGGAATGTGGGAAAATGTAAAATGTCCTCTTATACTTACCGAACAGCATTGCTCCATGTTGCAACCAGCAGCATCATTTGCCACTATAGACAGCTGGTGAAAGGAAATATTGTAAGACAAACTCCAGCATACCTTTGGAACCATAGCTGCGTTCTGTCTGTTAGCCGGCCACAGCCATGGGGCCTCCCAACTGCTGGTGGGAGCATAGTTCGGCGGAGGGACACCTGAAAGAATGGCTTGTTATCTGGAATTATTTGCTCTTTTATAAGACAACCCCTATTTTATGTATTTATTTTCAATTTGGGGCATATCTGGCAATAAAACTGATTTCAAAATTCTGATCAGCCTGGACCCGGGACACCCTCACGCATTTTCATTGTGGGGACAGATGCCTCTTTAAGGACGCAAAAGTCTTCGCGCGCGTTGGACTTTGCTTGGCCGGTCGCAATGATGCCAAGACGCATGACAAATTAAAAGAAACGATAGACTGTGTGCTGGATGGCATGGATGATTCGAGGAGATAATAATGAGCACCAGAAAATAATATAGCAGTCGGTATGTAATATAGCATGTTGATTAGCAGCCAGGACATTCGTTCACCTCCTGAAAATGTTATGGACAACTTGGTCATCGCCCTGTCGGCCTTCCCCGGTCGCCGAGCTTGCCTTCTCAGAAAAAGTTCCCGCAATGTACCCTGATCCTCACCGCCCACCCCTCCCCACTTTTTGAAACGTTCCCACGCCTATGGATACGAGCACCTTGCCCGCCACTTCTGAAACAGGCCCCACGAGACCGAATGTGGCAGCGCGTCGGTTGCGTCTTGCTCTTTCATTTGATTACCTTATCCGGTGGTGTGGGCAATCATTTGATTACCTTATCCGGTGGTGTAGGTTATCCGGCACATTGCCCGTGAGTTATGAGATGGTCCTTCAGGCAACAGAGCATTGCAGGGGGGGGGGGGTGGCTTAACCACCTGTAGTAAGCCAGCTAATATCCATTCATTCAACTAGTTTCTGAAATTTTGGAACATCCCGCCCGCCTGATCGCGTCCCTAAAAAGCGCTGAACACAGCTAAGATCGCAGTTTGCCTGCAACCACGCGTGAATCTCGATTGTCGCGACATAATTACGCTCACATTAGCTTTACAAAATTAGAACTGCCGTTCATGACCCGATACAGCAGCTGTTCCTGACTTTGAAAAGCACTGGCACCAGGAACAAAGATTCAACAGCGAACAAACCATGTTCCCTGTTCGACTGCACTCGCCTCGATACATGGTGAAGCTCTCTACCGATGCATTATATGCTCTCTACATATATATTGGTGTTTCTAGCATGCCATCACCTCAGACAAATGAACAGGTGAACGCGGTCAGATGCTCAGACGTACGCGGTCAGATGTTCAGATGCACGCGGTCAAATGCTCAGACGTACGCGGTCAGATGCTCATGCGTACGTGGCCAGATGCTCAGGCGTACCCGATCGGATGCTCAGACGCACGCAGTCGGATGTTCAGACGTACGCAATCGGATGCTCAGACGTACGCGGTCAGATGCTCAGACGTGCGCGGTCAGATGCTCAGACGTACGCAGCCAGATGCTCAGACGTACGCGGTCAGATGCTCAGACGTACGCGGTCATGTTTAGCCTGCTGTTCAATCAGTGTTCATAGATATGGCATTATTAGTGCACTATTTCTGAGTGACGTTGAGCGGCTGACAAGACTAAGCCAATTTACGATTCTGGTACGCGAGCACACGCGTCTTCTGAGCAACCAAAGGAAAATCGTTGGAAAAGGGCACTATTAACTAACAAAAGAACGGCGCAGCTGCATATCACTTCCTATAATCTGTTCAGAAACTAGATAGACGGGCCTTCAGCGAGTTCATTAAGCTTTACGAATACAGCAAATAAAAACTGTTGTGCAGACAATGCATCTTCAATGTTTTTTTCACACACTTGGACCGGTAGTTGAGTACGGTATGTTGCAGGGGGATATGGTGGCTTCACCAGGGCTTACCAGTTCACATAGCGCACCGGAGTGGTTATATTGACAGAATATACAGAAGAGTTGCGAAGACCAGAAACGTCCGGTGCCGTTTCTGTGTCACACTGACGATAGCCCGCAGGTGTTGTTAGAGCCGACAACATCTGACAACGGGGACCGGCGCTGACACGCGGCGGCATGTCATATGACACACCGGACTAACACAGGGCTGGTGCCGGCCTTCGCCGCACGCAATGGAGGCTAACATTTCTGTTGCTGCTCAAGTGCATTGCATTGCAAAGTGCATTGCAAGCGCCAGTGTCGATCCTGTACCGTCGGCTCTGGTTAAGTACTGCCCGCCGCGACCGTCGCATCAAAACTTTGGCCGGCCTGTAACGCGCAGACTTTATTCGATATGGGGGTGCGTTCGTCGTCACGACGTGGCCCTTGCGCTCAGCACCGATCTGCCGCCGGCTGCGTGCGGCGGCCGCCAAGCCCATTAATTTGCGCACAACAGTGGTGTTGCCGAAATGGAGACCAGGCACGGCTGGTCGTGTGGACCGCACCACCGCAGCTGCAAGGCAGACCGGCCCGGCCACCGACGAACAGCCGGCCCCATCAAAGGCCAGTACAGCTGCTAGAGCTACAGCACCAAAAGCTCTTTCATGACCAAGAGAAACCGTGGTCAAAGGCTTTCGAGGCCATTGAGGCTACAACAACAGCGCGGGATCTTGAGGATTTTGACATATTGGCAATGACGGGAGACGGCGGTGCTAACCATAACTTGGGCATATTTTCGTAGGCAGTTAACTAACTAGCCTGGTTAGCCTACCCATTGCGTACCCCAACCACTGCGACATGGAATTCACCCGTTTCCGTGCACATGGATATCTTTGTTTCTCCCGTTGCAATGACACTCAATCCGCCATTCATACTTTGCTCAACGCGTTAGTTAGTAGCCATATGACATCATATGGAGTGTTCCACATTTGTATGAGGTTTTGAACGGAACCAGCTATCTTGAAAACCTTTCAGTGCAGTTCACAGCCCCGCCCATCTTAAAGCCTAAACCCCCTCTAGTGTCTGAGCTGTACGCCCGGGAAAATGAGCAGGCTATTTCGTGCAGATTATTTCAAGGTCACCCAGGCACCCATGACACAATAATCGTTTCATCCACATTTCGTCAAGATATTGGCTATGTGGCGATCACGGCCAGGAAAAATATAACTGTCGAGTCGTTCATAGCTGGCGTTGTACGATGACATCAAATAACAACGTATTGAGGAGCATATTTACTAAATAGAGAGAACTGGTGTTCTAGACAGTCTTTTCCACCTTAAAGTGTACCAATAGTTATAAGCGAGCTTTTTTCATCATGGGCGATGCTTGCTTCAAAATTTTCACATGTGTATTTTTACATTTCCTTTACATTACATTTCTTACATACATTTATTCATACATCTTCATTTCTTTAACACGGGCGCGCGTTCTGTCATGTCAAAATTAAACAAGTATCGGGACGGTTAATATTTCATTGCAGCGCTCACATCAACATGATGATGGATTCGCACACCCTTAGCCTTGCCCATACGTCTAAGCCACCCCCGACCGGCGATCATAACAGACTGCGTCCAAATAGCACACCGCCGTATCCGGCACGCCACAGCAGGGCCTAATTTCAGGCAGTGAATTAGTTGCGCGCTTCTGATCGACGTCACGGCGGAATGCGCCCCGCCATCATTTTGATTTTACTGGCACTTAAGTTCGAGAAGGGCTACCGATTGAAGGAATGATATGGGCCGCGCTCACTCCATCACGTTCATATGGCCACGGCAGTCCCATGCAAAACTCGATCTGCATCACGCGTAGCAGTGATAAACGTCACCAACGAAATGCATGCCTTTTCCAGCCCGCATTCGCACGCGGCGCCAATAAAAGCACGCGCAGGCCAGCCATCCCGATTTTTGAAACCTGTACAAAGTGTGCCGCGCGGGCCCGCGTGTTGACCTTTGATCCGTCTCAACCACGCGCCAGCAGCACGCAACATTCGGCTTTCAGCCGGCACATGAGTGAATAACGGGCTCCTATGCGGTCGCCCTCCCAGGATCGACCGGCGGACGGCTTTTGGCTGCGGCCTTTGCATCGCGCCGCGTCACGCCGCGAGCCCGACAGGCGGCGGCGCCGGCCCGTCACGGTCACGTCACGGCAACGGTGAAACCCAGCCGTTGCCGAATGGCTGTTGCCACTGGGCCGTCGTCAGGGTCCGGTCAACGTGGCAAGTGCTCCGTCACTTCCCCCGTGCGATTACTGTTATGAGGCTGTGCCCCTAGCGGACACGGTGCAATAGCGTCAGAGTTGCGGGGAAGATGGCGAGGGCGCCGCAGAAGCAGGGGCTCCGCTCAGGGCTGGGGTGGTAACCTGTGTTCGAGGAGCCGTCTAACCCTGTCAGACTGAAACGCGCGGGAAAATTATTGATGTTACTTCTGTACGTGATCAGATGCGTCTTTCAGACGAAAGACGGATACAGATCGATTTGAACATATCAATTACAACTCTATGTGACTTTTGCCCCCCCCCCCCTCCCCCACCGTTACACGATTTTGCCTTGGCTGGGGGCTGGAGACTTTACTGCAAGTGGGGCGGGGGTTATCTATCCCCCCCCCCCCCAGCCAACATGTTAAAGGAGGCCTATCATGTCCAGGAAGAGGTTTTCACGGCAGCGGAGGTTATAGGAAGTTTTTTTCGAACTTACCTTCTAAATCATTGTACGAGCATCACACTGTAATTCCCTTAGTTGCAGTTTAACCACTTGCTCACAAAGTGTTAACATCTTGAGACTCTCCCACGCCACGAGTGATGACTTTGTTAGAATTACGTAAATGGCATTTCAATTTCAAGAGCCTGACAGATGCGTTTTCATAGAATATCTCAGTGACTGCTGCCACATTTTCTCGATGCATCATATCAAACGACATGCTATCACAATTTTATAGTATGCAGCGGGGCCTTACCACCCGAGGCCGCGCCAGATTGCACACTCGTAATAAACAAACTATTTACAGCA